TTTTTTACCATTTTTGCTGTCCTTTTGATTAATATGTGTGAAGTACCAAAGCCTGTGTACCTCAATGCTGTTCATTACCCTGCCTTTTGGAAAAATTGAGGAAGAGCTAGGAAGAGACACGGGCAGGACCAGAGAGCCTTATGCAGTTCAATCCAGAGATCATTTCTCCTGGTATCACTTGGCTGAGGAGAGATAATTGCTCATACCTCTGGTCAGAACTGTGTAGTAACATGTGAACCCTTAGGAGTAGGGTGTTCAAACCTGGGAGATGTCCTTCCTGGGGGGACATTCTGGAGCCTCCAGGAGTGGATCATGGGAATGCTGGGGCTCATTCAGCTCAAACTGTGAAAGCTGGGGCCTCACCTGCCTGTGTGCTGTTTAGAGATGGGGATCTGCCTGCATGCAGGTAACCAGATTTTAATTTTTCAGCTTCCCCTGCAGCAGCTGCTCCTCATGGGTTTTTTTCCTGCTGCTCTGTGCTGCTGCAGGGTCAGGTTTACCCTGAGAACATATGCTTGTGGGTGCTCCATGCCAGTGCTGCAGCTGAGGTATGGGATCAAAAGAAGAATGAGGAATGTGGTGGCTGCCTGTGAACCTGCTCACCTTCTGCACACTTTCAGGAGACCTATAAAATAAGGCAACTAATTGCTAAGGCTGGAGTTTGTTTAAATACAACTCGATTGTTGCGTAATGTCTATTACCTAAATTTTTCTATCCTTTTGGAATGTTGCCCCTTAGGGATAACTGGATACAAGTGTTGCACTGCATGTGCATAAAGGCGGGAATATTCCTACAGGCTGCTGCAGCCCTCGCTGGAGGTTGTGAGTGGCAGTGTTTGTTTGCAACGTAATGGTGGGTTTTCGTTTGTACTCTGTGGTGGCAGCAGTGACCAGTGACTGTGGTCTGTGAACCTGTTGGCTTGGAGCCTGCCTCTGAAGAGCAGGGACTCAGGAAAGCAAAGCTGGCTGTCAGCTGGTGCAGTCGTTCTGTGGTAGGCTTCGCTTTTATCGGGAAAACCTTGCAAGTGGGAGAAGACTGAAAGCTTGCTTGGCCTTTCTGCAGGTGAAGAGAGGTCATAAAAGTTATTTTTTTGGGATGCCAATTGTTTTTTAGAATTCTAATTATACTGTTTCATTTTAATGTAACTTTCCCTGGTTTTTCCCCTGTCCATTTTGAGTCAAGTAGCACTTCTGTCTTTCTGTTTAACAATATGTGCAGTTGTTGCTATCCAAAATTCTTTATTGATCTAATAAAGCAGTTAAATGAGGTGACTTTGAAAATATAATAGGATAGCTAAGTGAATCTATATAAAAATTCATGTTTAACAGAGAGCATATTTGATAAAGTTAGCAAATATTCTGTGAGCAGTGTTATAGTTATGGCTGTTTTCAGACAACTTGAAAGCTTTCTGGAGAACTCATCCTCTGGAGTAAAATGTTTTCTGCTTGTTTCTCTTATGAAAGGGAATAAAGTGTTACTGTTGTCAGAATCCATTCATTTCTCATACCTTGTAGTAAATGATAACACTCCCCTTCCTATTTTTGAGATACAGAAACATGGAAGTGAAAAATGCCTCATTAAATTATTTAGATATAGGCAAATAATAATGTTTTCCCCTTTTCTTGCACTATTTCTGACTGCTCTTTAAAAATTCCACTGCACCCCTGGTAGGTGAAATGGTGTGGGCCTGAAACAAGAGAAACCATTCCTAAAATTTCAGCCTGGCTCATATCTGAATGTGCTGCCTCTCATGCTTCACTGCGAATCCACATCAACCCACTGGTGTGATAACATGGAATGAGCTGCAGTCACCCAAACCTTTGCTTCATCTTGAGCAGTCAGGCTGGCAGGAGTGGAAAATGCTCCTCAGCAGCAGGTTTGATGCTTAGGAAAACTGATTTAGGAGTAAATTCTTGCTCCGATGGCGATAGCCTTGCTCCTGCCGTGCGCCATTGGTGACAGAGGAGGAGCAGCAGGCCATGCCAGGCTGGCTACCCCTGGCATGGGCCCTGCCCACACGTGGTTGCAGGGAGGGGCTTGATGGGGGGGTAGAGCTCTTCCTGCTGGGACTCATGGCACCTTGCTGGAGTTCAGCTGAACAGTGTAATTAGTATCATTCTAGCTCCCAGTCAGCTGTAATAGGTACCAGGAAGGCGCTTCTCTTTGCATAACCTATTAGAAAAGCTATTTTACTTTCCTACACGTATGCCTTATATGGAAGAACAGGCAGCGTGGTGAATTGTCAGGAGACTGCATGAACTGCATTTTCCAGTGTCACAACTGGCAACTGTGAAATCTGCATCAAAATGCTTGTACCAATCATCCTTTAGGCCAGCAATGGGAAAGTACTGCTGGGTGTGCAGGGTGCTCATACCTGAGCTGGGGGCAGATGCCTACTCTGGTCCCCACTGGTGTCAAAGGAGTTAGTGGCTGAACTAGGGAAGCTGATCTGGGCAATCTTCCAGCCTGAAGGATGTGAGGCAAAAATGGATGGGAGGAACTGTAAGTGATATGAGGGAAGCAGTAGGCTAGGAGAAGAAGGGTCCAATAAAATCAAGTAATAAAATACATCCATAAAACTGCAGGACCTGAAGTTTGAAACAGTAGCTCTATGCTTACATGCTTGGCACAACTTTCATTTCTAATTTGTCTGCTTCCTTCAGGCTTCCTTTTGCCAGAGAGGTGGTCTGTACGCTCACTGTCTGCAGCTGGAGAGTCCCTGCTCTGCTCATGCCAGTGGTGATAGAGGACCACAGGGAGATAAGAGTTCTCCCTGTAGCAGTCATTGCTCTTGGGTGGGTGTGCTTGGCTGGTTTTCCAGATCATAGACTTCAGGCAGTAAGGCATTAGAAATATTATAGTCTATTAAATGTACTGTGGAGCGTTTGGCTGCACTAACTGCTGCTTTTAATAGAGCTCAGATCTGACATTTTTGGGACTGAGAGGGTTTGGATGTAAACTTTGTTAAATTGGTTTTGAAAAAGGAAGTTCTTTCATGCTTTGAAGGGAAAAAAATATGAAGACAGAACTGCAAGTCTCTTCCTTAAATCAAAGTTTTCTGCCTGAAATGGGAACAGCTCAGCAGAACAGTTTAAGTAAACATGGCCATAACTGCTTATCTGAGACATTGGCATCCTCTCTTCTTACTGTGTTACTTTTTTGTGGTATCCTGGCGTCTCTAAGTCACTGATGTGTTTGTTCTCACAGCACCTCCTTTGTAGGCATATGCTTTTGTGTCCATTTGATAGTTGCTACCAAGATTTGAGGCTTTATCTGAAGACCTTGCTCCAGGAGTGTACCTTTTCTACATCTCTGCAGATGAGATTTTGGAACTGCTGTCTGAACAGTCCTTCCTGCCTCCAGCTCTGAATTCTCTCTGTCTCTGTTGTGGCTTCTTTATTTATTAAGCAGGGGAAAAAACAGAGGCAACTGTTTCTGAGTCATCCCGAGTCAGTGTTCAGCCCAGGACAGGATAAAATCTAGGCCAGTGACAGCTGGTGTACAGTTGTAGCCTGTGTGGGGTCAGTATAAACTGGGAAATTTGCTGAAAATCACGTTATGTATGTGAGAGTGCAAGGAATTAGGTACCATACTGTAAAGCTGGTGCCTGAGAATGGGATCATGATTCTTCTCCTAGGTAGAAAAAATGCACCATATTGTGAGAATGACTTATTGATACCTAACATTACAGCTTGGGTGAGTTTTGCCTGTGTATATTAAAATAATGTAGACCTACAGTGAGTCTTTTATCCAGGAGGCATTGCCACCTGCAAATAACTTCTTTGCACTCCAAGTTCTTCCACTGTACCATTGCTTGAAACTTCATTATTGAAATTAATTTTTAAGTTAATGCTTTGCTCTTAAGATCAGCCTCTAAAGAAAGAAATTTGTTTTTATTTGCACATGAACAACAAGAAGAATGTTTTAGTTATAGAATGTAGGATTGTAATTAATTTGATAGGTCTAGTAAAGTAAGAAATTCAGTGATGTTTCATAGATCACTTCTGTGTGTTCTATAACATCTTCTTCAAAGTAATGGAAGAATAAGAAATGAGAAGTGAGAGATGCTTTGTGTTTTTTCATGGGAATGAATGTGTCTGTACATTTTTGAGGCTCTAGTAGAAGTTCTTCCTCATTTTGGTTATGTTACAAGGAATAAAATCAATTATAAGGAAAAAGAGAAAAAGAAAACTGTGCCTCTTGCTTACTTTTGTTGTGATTCCAACAACAGTGCATCAGGTCATGGTAAGTGATCTCAGCCATATTTTTAGTTACAGTTTGAAAAATTATGTTTTGTCATGAAATAGTGCCCAGAATTTTAAAGCTAGTACACATGCAGATGTAAGTATATTGCACTGCCAATGCCAATCTAGTACATAAAGAGCTTCACAACTGTTTGGATCTGCTCTTCTTTCATAATGGGCTGCAACTTGTTTACTAATGCTTGAAAGCATGTACACATCAAATAAATCTCTGGTATTTGGGCCATAGTGTACCAGCATTATGCAAAGGGAAGATTAACCACACTCAGTATTAAGCTACGATCCACTTCACTCTTGATTCCTCACCATAGTAAATCAACGAAACCATCAAAGAACAGAATTAATGGAAGGGTTCCTCAGACAATAGATTTATTTCCATGTTTATTTGTATTATTGTTAAGAAAAGGGAAATCAGCAGAGCAAATCTGCCTGGAGGCTCAGGACGTTATAAATTAATCAAAAGACATGAAGTGAACTTTCGGGTGTGGAAAACCAGCACCAGATGCAAATGCTACATAGCTGCATCATACGGTGTGTACGATGTTGCTGCGACAACTGAAAGCAGCACTCCTGCTTTGACTGCTGCTGCTCTCAATAGATAGCCTTTGGCAAGCAGTGTATTGGCAAATCTGACACAGAGTGAATTTGCAACATTGACTCAAAAGACTTTCCTAACATGAAGCATCTTTAATGCATATCATTTTAGCTCTTTCCTGTTTTTACTCTGCTCTCTTTCAGTGAAAAGGTCACGAGAAGCAGTAGCTGAATTTTTCTGAAGTGCTTTACAGCAGGGAAAGTGGGGGAACCTCTTAAAGTGGTGTCTTATTCTGTAAGTTAAACCTTTTATTCTTCAGTTAATTAATTAATTTATCTTCTTTTAATTTTTTAAATCCTATGTATCAGAATAATTGTAGTCACTTAGAAGCTGTCCCCAGGCAGTGAAACTCCTCATCCCCACCTTGGCTTTCCCCCTCCCCCAGAAATAGTCTTTGCCAAATGAAACCTGTCAGCCCACTTTGGCAGATATAGAAGTGTGCAGCTGACTCAGTCCCTGCCACAAGGTGAATGTCCCTCTGCCCCAGCTGGGGCTGGTCGCTGCATTCCTGCTCAGAGATGTGCCCTATCGAGTGCGCGTCTTTTTCTTTGACACTTGCCCCACAGTGCCCCACCTTTTCTTTGTGCATCCAACTGTAGTAATAGGAGGTTTTTCAGAGACCAAAATGGGAACTTTTTGGGTTTTCCCCTACAGCAATAGCATAGGTATATTTGATGTTGCTACCACTATCACTACAAGAAATAAAAGAGAGAAGACTGTATTAATTTTACAGTAACAGGGAGATATTCTTTAATGTAACTAGAGGTTCAGTTAGTGCTGCTGCCTTACATTGATTCCAATAGAAGGTCAGAGATGTAAAAAAGTGTAGTGCTCAATATTCAAATTAATTTGTAGCATCAGTTTAGGATGGTTTAAAAGTTTAGCTAACCTTAAGGGTGCTAAGTACTTCCAGCTGAGGCCAGAAGGAATTTCAGCTGGTCAGCAGTTCCTGTGATTTGGCCTGATACTACTTACTGTCATTTTCTTGCACACCTGATACTTCTGCATTTTTTTGCAGGTATAAGTTTCTTTGCTCACATCACTTTATGCCTCATTTGCTAACTCTTCTGTTCTGGAAAATTGGCAGGATGACAGCATGCCACTCCCTCATCCTTTTGTGTTAGGGCTAATCCTCAGGTTTCTTTCTGATGTGTCTCCAGAAATATGTATTCAGCTGAGGCTGAATGTTGGTTTGATTTGTAATACTAAAATGTGAACAGTGCAGATCACTTTCTGTCTCTTAAAAAAAAAAAATCACAGTAGAGGTGTATATGAAGAGTGTCAGAGCTTTAAACTCAGTCACATAAAATATGTTTCTAAAATACAGATGTGCTTTGGCACATGCCAAAGTACTTTGCTGAATCTGGATGTTTGTCTTTGCTTTGTAAACTCAGGACTTAACAATTAGATGACTGATTACTTAACAGGTTATGGTATTTTACTGCTCTGAATTGTGCTTTGGCATGACAGATTTTTATTTTGATTTCAGATTATATGACTTGTTTTTCCTTCTTTTTTTTGCTTACCATATGATTTAATTAAAGTTTTGTTGCAGTGATTGACAGTTGTTTTATTTGATACCTGTTTATAGACATTTATTCATTACTTTTTCAGTGTACTGATATTTGTCAGAAGAGAATGGTATTATTTCTTTTGTCAATGAAAATGAGGCTATAAATTACTGTAATTTTGGGATACATTTCTGGTATGAGCAAACAGTATTCCCTTGGTGAGTTTTCTACTGTGGAAAACTAGGTTATGCATAATATATTTTAAAAAAGACCTGTATTCCTCTGAAGAGGAATGGCATTGTGCAACTCCTAGAAACAGAGAAGAATCAAAATGTTTGTATAGTCTTCTTCAAAGTATGGAAGCATCTGCAGTGTTGTTCTTCCTTGTTCACAGGGGGGACTGGAAATTACTGCTTCTGGATTCTGCTTGTGATAGATAAATAATTTTTTTTTTAATCCCTCTTTTGTAGGACATGGGGTGAAGGGTTCAGCTTTCAGCACCTCGGTGCAGTCACCTGCCAGGTTCTTCCCAGAGCCGCCCTGTGCCTGCCACTGGTGCAGGTGTGTTAGGTCCCAAGGTGACGATACCCCCAGTCACCAAAGAGCAAACAAAAGTCACACAGATGTGTCGCACATATGTGTGACTTTGTATTTTACCGACAAGTTCAAAAGGATTTTGCAAAATTACGACACGAGTAAGCTGTGGGAGTTGGGAGGATATGATGTATTCTTCCCTGCTAAAATCATTGTGTTAACACTCTTGGCACCACCACTGAACTCCCCAGTAACTCGTGGTACATTTGAAAAAGGCACCGAGCAGCACACACTGTTTAATTCTGCCTTCTGTTACGCAACAGAGCGCGCGATTGCCTCAGTGAAGCACATCTGCATTGCGAGAGTAAACTCTCCTGGGAAGCGAGTGCATCTTCCACACAAGTAGGAGTGAGGCGTGGGCTGGGCATTGCTATTTTGGCAAGCAGAGGGAGCCAGTGTTGGAAAGCTGCCTCACCTTTCACTTTCCATGGAACTTACCCTTTCTCCCTGTTTCAGGCACCAACCACTGCCACTTGCTTCTCTTAGTGGTGGCATGGGGATGGGGATGTTTTCAGTGGTTGATTAAAAGCATTTATCAGGGTTTTGGGAACCATGGTCTTTGCTATCTGTCAGGTCTGTTTGTGATCCTTGAGCGGAATAGGCTGTTAGGAAGAAGAATGCACTTTGGAAAAACATCTGGAAGAGCTAAGAAAACATTTTGGTTTTACTAAAATAAGCAAAAGAAAACCACACCTGTGTGATAGTATCTTCTTTAACTGCTAAGTCGGCAGCAGTTGATGGAAGGCACAAAATTCCTGTAACTTTTATATTATGTTTCAGTTTGCTTCTTCCAAGTCTCTCTTTTGCTGGAAGCAAAGTGAAGCTCCTGCTGTCTCAGTTCTGCTGAAGTTCTTCCTGTCACCCTAAGCTTGGTTATCAACCCTCATTTTTCTCCTATCAGCATGCATTACATTTTTATGGCAGTATTTAGCAAAGACTTTCCAACAGTGCCTATGACAGTGTAATTGGACCCCTCTGTCTGACTGAAATTACTCCCTCTTTAATGGGGGGCTCTGGCTGCTTTCTAACAGCTTTCTTTGAGGCAGGCTGGAAGTCTAGTTAGCTGGTCTGTAATGTGGGTGCACAGCATTTCACCAGGCATTAGTCAAAGTAGTTATTCATGGTTTGCTGTTAAACTGTAAGAGTGGAGTGAGTGAGATTCCCCAGGGGTCTGTCCTGGCTTTGGTAATAAAATACTCACTGTTTTCATTATTGAAATGATTGATGGAGCAGACAGAGCAGTTGTTAATTTTACATAGGATAAAAAGTGTGAAGGGGGGCTGCAGGCTCCTTGGAAGGCAGGATTAGAGTTTTGAGCTGCCCTAGCTAACAGGAGAAATAGTCTGGGAAAAAGCCCTGAAAAATAGCCAGGATACAAACATAGAAGTGCTGTAGAGAGACAGAAATATCCTGTTGCATGAGACAGGATGAGGCTGACTCAGTAGTGGTTCTTCAGAAGGTGGTCTGTGAGCTGGTGTTGGGCTGTGTTGGACTAATTGTTTGGCCTGGTTTGGTTGAATAGGGTGGTAAAAAAATCACAGCTGGTTCCCAGACCAGCAGAGAAAACCTGTGTCATGTCCTTCTCTCCCTGGCACCTGGGCTGCCAGTGCTCTGCTGAGTGGGCAGCTTTTCTTTTGATCCCCTGCCTGCTTTGGTTCTGACTCTGGAGCTGGTGACCAAGCCTGTAGGGAAGTGTCCCAGCTCAGATCCTCCCAGGCCTGGTCCATGTGCACAGGACAGCGCATCTGAGGAGGGTTGCAGACCTGAGACTGTAGGTGTCATACAGTCATACAAGGAACAAGGGTTCCCCATCCATGTTCCTCAGGAAAGCACTGTTTTAGGGTGTGTAAAGAAAAGGCATGAAATAACTCCTCCACTCCTTTCAGTGTTTGAAATGGCTTAACATCTAGTTTGGGGCACAATGCAGTCAAGAGCCAGCTGGGTGGTGTCCAGGAAGAAGGCAGGAAAAATGATGAAAGATTTGGAAAACGTGACCTGGGAAAGAAGATGAAAGAATAGGGATTGTTTAGTCTACAGGGGACAAGGCCAGTAACAGACATGATAGTAGTGTTCAAGTATGTGCAAGGTTCCTGCAGGGAGGAGGGGAATAAACTGTACGGCCTGACTGCTTGGGGTTAGGGCTAAAAGAAATGGGCTCAATATGAAGGTGACAAGACTTAGGTAAACATTTAAGAAAGCTTTGAAATGATAAGGATATTTTGGTCCTGCAGTTATTTGCCTTTGAGGAAGCTGTGGAAGCATCATCACTGGAGGTTTTTATAAAACAGACGAACCTCCTACAGGAATATTTTGGGTATTGCTTTGGGAAAGGAGGTGGAATACATGCTTCTGAAGGTCGTTTCCCGGGAAATAATGAAGAAATCTTATTTATTTTATTCTGTGACCTTAGGTAATTAGGTAATCTAATAACCCAGCAAGTAACTCAAGAGATAGTGACAATTCATTATTGCAACATACCAGTGGTAAATAGACAGCTGATTTATGCACAAAACTCAGTGATGATGATGATACCCTTCTGCTCTCTGTTCTAGTTTAAAAAAAAAATCTGAGCAAGCTAATTTTACTGGAGCGTTTCAAAAGGCTGTTCCTGTAAATATCTTACTCTACACAGAAATAGAGGAAGCAATGTTAGTTGACTTTGCTTATTGAAGTATTGTGCAAACACTATCAGTACCTGTTATTGATTGTACATAGCACGGCCATGGCAAAACCATCAGTACTTTATGAGGCACAGGAGCTGAACTGGAGCACGATGTCGTGTTTTCAATCTTGATGTCTGTGCACTTTTATGCTTCTTTTATGTGGAGTAGGGAGCAGGCTGAGAACAACTAAGCTTTAGTTACCTCATTCCTATCTATACACGAGTTACTCTCCATTGTCTTGTTACATTAAGTGCCTTGAGAAATGCCTTGTGGTATCCCTATGGATACTTTCCTCCCTTTTTTCTTTACTGGAGGATCCCTTCTATGACTTTGAAAGTTCCTGCAGGTCCCCTGAAGTCTTTCAACTCCATTTCTGCTGTAGGACCAAAATGTCTTTTCTGTTCTTGTCACTGTGCGTGGCAGGGAAGAGGAGGTCTCATGTGTTGCTATGATGCATGAG